AAATAAACATTTTTCTATTTATATGTCTTAATCTCTGCATGAGAAATCTTTCTCCACCCCCTGTAAGCACCTACTAGGCTTTCCACCCTAACAGTGATCACTCAATAAATACTATTTATTGTTAACTAAAATTTGCCCAGTTGTTAATCTATCATTAGCATGAAATAAAAATTCGTTTCCAACTTCCTGCATTGTCTTTACTAAACTATAAATTTCTTGAGGAAAAAAAAAGTCATCAACAGGACATGGTCTAAATTTTTGAAGAGAAAATTACATAGATAACTAATTATGACCCACTATGGGAAGTGCTGTCACCGTGGGGGTAGGTAATGCCCATGGTCAACAAAGCGACTGACTCAGCAGTTTCCATTTCCGCTTCTCATCCTCCCCAACTCTTCAGAAGAACCCAGCTGTCAGAAACTGAATCACGAATAGGAAGGGGGTTCCCCAAGGAGTGAGTGAGGGAATGCAATTTGGGGTAACCATCGAGGGCTGCGAGGCAGAGAGGAAGGGGTGAGACAGAGGCATGGTCTGCAATGTGGAGTTTCTGATGAAACAAGTGACAGAGACTCCTTCATTGGGAATCAGTAGCAATATGGGATGATACTTGGATGCCAAAGCCCCAGTGAAACCTACCATTGCCCTTGACCTTGCCTTCACTGCTTCTCCTGCACCACCGGCATTAGCAATCATAGGGATGGGATGGAAACAGAGCCCCAGGGGTCGTAAGAGAGGTCATCCTGCAGACACCTAGGAAGGACAGAATTGCAAAGATGTGGTCTTGCTTTGCTTCTGTCTGATGTCCTTTGGTATCCAACATATCAACTCTAACCCCTTTTGGGGGGAATTCAAGGCCCTTCCTGGTTTGGCCCCAATTTAGCTTCATCCATACTCCCCCCATCACTGGGCAGCTCCACTGACCTGCTCCCGCCTCCCTCTGAGCCCACGACATCTCACCTGGGACTCTGTGTCAGCTGGACCTTCCCCTCCCAGTCCCTTTGTATGTTCAAATCCTGCCTGGTTTTCCAGACCCAACCAGAGTTCCAGCCCTTCCATGGAGCCTTCCCTGACCCTCCCGTAGGAGGTCATTTCTTCCCCTGGTGGTGTTCTGAGCTTTACCTTTCTTTCTCTCCTTGGAGTCCTAGCACTTTCTGCTAAGTGCTGTGATTACCTGTGCACATACGCTACCTGCCCCTACTAGCCTGGCTTCATCTAGAGGACAAAGGCCATTAAAAACCACTAAAGCTGTTCTTATTATAAAATGTGAGGTATGCTTATTAATTATGAAATAATAAAACATAAAGCACAGAAAAGAAAAATCATATAGATCCGGCTGAGAAGGTAGACCCTTTTGCACCACAGAAATTACACATTGAAAAGAATAAGGAGAAAAAATCTGCCTCAAGTGTGGCATTATTTATGTAAGTATCGTATAGCATTCTTAAAATTATTGAGAGAAATGGGAAATCAAGACTTCATTTTAGGAAAGGTCATTGGACCTTTAGTATATTTATCAAAAATTGCTTTCGGATTAACCAATGGACAACAGCCTACTTTTAAACCTGTGATGTTGTAAATGTTTTAAAACAAAATTTGTTCATAAATTCGTGGACTGACCAGGAAGGTAATGAACTCTCACTAAATACAATGAGAAAAATTCAGAAAAAGAAAATAACAAAATTAATCACCCATAGACTTATCATGCAAATATAAGCACTATTAATTCTTTAGGGCATTTATTTCCAATGCTTTTGATTTTTTCCATGTCTAGGGTTGGTACGGGAAAAAATATATATGTGTGTGTGTTGAATTGTTCATCTTGTACAATTTGTACTATTTTTATCTTGCTTTTTGACCACTGATGTTATATTTATGCCACTTAATTTTAAGGGCTTAATAATAAATAATCCAGTGGGTATAATTTATCATTCCTTAATAGAGAAAAATTCACGTTTGCTTATTTTATTTAATTTTTTCTTATTTTTTGTAGAGATGAGGTCTTGCTTTGTTTCCCAGGCTGGTCTTATAGTCCTGCCCCCAAGCAATCCTCCCTGAGATTACAGGCATGAGCCACTGTGTCTAGCCTTTTTTTAAATTTTTATTTTCAGTTATTATGGATACATAACAGCTGTACATGTTTACAGGGTACATGTGATGTTTTGATACAGGCATACAGTGTGTAATGATGAAATCAGGGCAATCGTTGTATCCATCACCTCAAGTATTTATCATTTCTTTGTGTTAGGAACATTCCAATTCCACTTTTTTAGTTATCTTAAAATACACAATAAATTGTTAACTATAGTTGCCCTGTTCTACTGACTACTAGATCGTATTCCTTCTAACTATATTTTTGTGCCCTTTAACCATACCCACTTTATCCACATCTCCTTGCTACCCTTCCCAGCCTCTGGGGACCATCATTCTACTCTCTATCTCTTTGAGTTCAATTTTTTCTTTGGCCCCCACATGAGTGAAAACATGTCATATTTGTCTTTCTGTGTCTGACTTATCTCACTTAACATAATGCCCTCCAGTTCCATCCATGTGGTTGCAAATGACAGGATTTCATTCTATTTTATGGCTGAATAATATTCCATTTTGTATATATACATTTTCTTTATCCATTCATTCACTGATGGATACTTAGGTTGATTCCAAATCTTGCTTATTGTGAATAATGCTGCAATAAACACGGAAGAGCAGATCTCTTCAACATACTGATTTCATTTCTTTCGGATATATACCCAGCAGTGGGATTGCTGGATCATCTGGTAGTTCTATTTTTAGTTTTTTGAGGAACCTTCGTACTGTTCTCCATAGTGGTTGTACTAATTTACATTCCCATCAATGACGTGAGAGGGTTCCCATTTCACCACATCCTTGCCAGCTTCCGTTGTTGCCTTTTTGATAAAAACCATTTTAACTGGAGTGAGATAATACCTTATTATAGTTTGATTTGCATTTCTCTGATGATTAGTGATGTTGAGTTTTTTATATACCTGTTGGCCATTTTTATGTCTTTTGAGAAATGTCTATTCAGATTTTTTGCCCACTTTTAAATCAGATTATTTGGCTTATTTTTGCTATTGAGTTCTTTGAGCTCCTTATATATTTTTTTTGAGACAGAGTCTCACTCTGTTTCCCTGGCTAGAGTGAGTGCCGTGGCGTTAGCCTAGCTCACAGCAACCTCAAACTCCTGGGCTCAAGCGATCCTCCTGCCTCAGCCTCCCGAGTAGCTGGGACTACAGACCATGCCTGGCTAATTTTTTCTATGTATTTTTAGTTGTCTGATTAATTTATTTCTATTTTTAGTAGAGACGGGGTCTCGCTCTTGCTCAGGCTGGTCTCGAACTCCTGAGCTCAAACAATCCGCCCACCTCGGCCTCCCAGAGTGCTAGGATTACAGGCGTGAGCCACCGCGCCTGTCCGAGCTCCTTATATACTGATTATTAATTCCTTGTCAGATGGGTAGTTTGCAAATATTTTTCCCATTCTGTGAGTTGTTTCTTCTCTTTGTTGATTGTTTCCTTTGCTGTGCATAAGGTTTTTATCTTGATGTGATTCCATTTGTCCATTTTTGCTTTGCTTGCCTGTGCTTTTGAGGTCTCACTCAAGAAATCTTTGCCCAGACCAATGTCCTGGAGGGTTTCCCCAATGTTTTCTTCTAGTAGTTTCAGTGTCTCATATTTCAGTCTTTATTTTGATTTGACTTTTGTATATGGTGAGAGATAGGGATCTAGTTTCATTCTTCCACATATGGATATCCAGTTTTCCCAGTACCATTTATTGAAGAGACTGTCCTTTCCCCAGTGAGCATTCTTGGCATCTTTGTCAAAAATGAGTTGACCATAAATGCATGAATTTATTTCTGGGTTCTCTATTCTGTTCCATGGGTCTATGTGTCTGTTTTTATGCCAGTGTTCTTTTGGTTACTATAACTTTGTCATATAATTTGAAGTCAGATAATGTGATTCCTCCAGCTTTGCTCTTTTTTGCTCAGAATGGCTTTGTCTATTCTGGCTATTTTGTGGTTCCATATAAATTTTAGGATTTTTTTATTTCTTTGAAGAATGTTATTAGTATTTTGATAGGGATTACATTGAATCTGTAGATTGCTTTGGGCAATATGGACATTTTAATGATATTGATTCTTCCAATCCCTGAACATGAAATATTTTTCCTTTTTTTGTGCCCTATTTCATTGTTTTATAGTTTTCATTGTAAAGATCTTTCACTTCTTTGGTTAAGTTTATTCCTAGGTATTTTATTTTAGGTATGATTATTTTAGAGTTGTAAATGACACTGGGTCAGATATCTTTATGTTTTAAGATGCCTCCATATTTGGATTGTTTCCATAAAACTCTTTCCTAGAAATGTTTTTTCTAGGTTTTAAAAGCTGTAATTATTTTTGGGCTCCTAATATATTGACACCCACCTATGAAGAATCTTCATGATCCACAACTAGTGTGTAACCCAGTGCCCTAGTCACTCCATGACTGTTTGATGAATAGACAAATGACTGAAACATGACCTCATACTTTGTTCCTCCAGCCAGGAATTTCTTAATTCGGTCCCTTGCAAGTGGGGTAGGGGGGCTTTGCGCCACCTTCCACAGCATCAGCATGTCTACCCTGTCCATGAGAGTACAGCAGCTGAGGAAGCACAGAGTTTTAGCTCTGTAGGAAGGAACGGGGCTGAGAGTCCATGCATAGGTCAGTTCTTATGAGAAGGGACCAGCTAAGAATAGCCCTGGATTGACACACACCCCTTTCCTCACACTCACAGGAGAAACCATTTCCCCACAAGAAGCCAGAAGAAGTCATGAGTTGAGAGCTGAGACGTATAGCTCAGAGATGCTATTCTTGGATATCCTGAGCCCCTGTGGTCACCAGGGACCCTGAGTTGTGCAACACTCAGCACGACCACACCACTATGCTTAAAAATTTCCCTCCTCACCCCCAGATTCCATTTCCCCATCCGCCAGAGCTGCCTATAAAGAGAAGGGGAGATGGCTTCAGACTCCAGAAGGACACAGGCAGCAACGAGTGCCCAGTCTGCTCTTGACTTTGCTGACACTCGAGCCCGCATCCCATCATCTGCTCAGAATCATGAAGGTCTCCATGGCTGCTGCTGCTGCCATCCTCCTCTGCACCATGGCTCTCTTCAACCAGGTCTTCTCTGTACCATGTGAGTCTGTGTGGTTGGTGCGGGCGACCCCACTCTCAGGCCAGGATTAGACCACATCAGTCTTTTCTTGTGGCTTGAGAGCCCCCAAGAGAAAATAGAGAACTTCTGACAGGGCGACAAAACATCTTGGTCTTTCTCTTCAAAACTTTTATTTCACCTCTATTCATCTCTATAGGAGTCTTAGCTCTCCTAGTCTCCAGGTCTGAGAGTCAAGGTAGGGGAGTTACAGTCCTTTGTACAGACAGAAAAACAGGATTCTGAACAACTGAGTTAGCAAGAGGCAGAGTCCAGGTCCGGTTGGCTCCTAGTGGTGCCATTCATTCACCTGCCCACCCTAGGTCTCCCCAGAAGCTCTGTCGTTTGGATGTCATATGGGAGGTTTCCAGGGATTCTCTTTTGCTGGGTTATGACTTCTTGAACAAGACACAATTCCCTGAAGAGAGATTAGATAAAAGAAGAGTCTTCCAGGATATCTGGATCACAGAGAGCGCCAGCCCACTGTGAAGAGTCAAAGGAAAGAAGAATAGAGACAGAAACAAGACAGGGACATTTCTGGGCAAAAACGTCCAGTTGTTTTCCAGTGACCTGGTCTCCCTTCCTCACCCTCTCGGGGATCAGAAGCTGGCTTGCCTTTTCTTCTTAACGATGACTCAGGCTCATTCTGTCCCTTCCTCCACAGTTGGTGCTGACACCCCGACTGCCTGCTGCTTCTCCTACACCTCCCGGCAGATTCCACGCAAATTGGTAGTTGACTATTTTGAGACCAGCAGCCAGTGCTCCAAGCCAGGTGTCATGTAAGTACCAGTCTTCCTGCCCAGTTCTGGGGTGCCAGGGAGGGTCTAGGCTGGGGGCCGAGACAGGACAGAGGAGCCATCCTGGAAAGTCCCAGCCTTTTAAGGCCTGTCAAGTATACGGAACCCAGGTCTCTGAGGTGTGACCTGACTTTGGGGATGGGGAGAAGATGTCAGAGAGGGCTACCCCAGCCCAGAGGGAAGGGATGGGAAGGAGGCGGCAGCAGGATCCTCTGAGGGCCCCCCTCTTTAGACTGAGACAGGCAGAGGCTTCCTGAGAAAGTGGGCAGGTCCTGAGCTGCCCCGGACAGAGAGTGGGATGGAAGGGCCCCAGTGGGCCCAGGATCCTCCTGCTGGGTTGCTCAGTGTTTAATCCTTCCACCCTTCTCCACAGCTTCCTAACCAGGAGAGACCGACAGACCTGTGCCGACCCCAGTGAGGCCTGGGTCCAGGAATACATCACTGACCTGGAGCTGAATGCCTGAGTGACCTCAGTGGGCCCGGTGGGGAGCAGGGGCCCGAGCCTCGGACACATCCCTGTAACCTCCACAGCTACCTCTCCTATGGGCTGGTTGTTGCCAAACAGCCACACTCTGGGATGCTTCTTAACTTAAATTAATTTATTTATATTATTTAATTTTTATAATTTATTTTTTATATCACACTGTGTTTGTGACTATTTGCTCTAAGAAATCCTGGGACACCTTCTTTGCTACCCATCCCCTCCCCCTTTGCTCACACTGTGGTGGGTGACAATTGAGTGGCTGCCATCAGCTTGTTCTAGGCAGACACAGCACCAAAGCCACCAAACTGACAAATATGTATTGGATGCTTTTGTTCAGCATTGTGATTAGCCCAGGGAAATAATAAAGATGTTCTTTTAAAAAATAAACCAGCATTGAGTTTGGTTTTGTTTTTCTGCAAATAAGAATGAGAATCACTGGTTAAGAGGAATAAACAGGCAAAGAACAGGAGGATGTGAAATGGAGGGAAACTGGGGGAGATGGAGGGGGGCTACCACACTCACTCCACTTCACACTGCAGCACGATTCCAGAACATTGAAACCATGAATACTTTGTAAGTCAAATCCTAATGTGCATGCTCTAGGAAAATTCACTACTTAGATGGATACCATTAAGTACAGTATTCTGTAGTGCATATTTATGATAAATCAAGCTTTCTTAATAACAGTTGCTAACGTTTTTGAGCACGCTAGGCTGCGTGCTTTTTAGGCATTGTCCATTCAATCCTGAAATGCAATAGTCCAGCCTAGGTACTATTAATATCCCCAGTGGACAGAAAGAACCCCAGGGCTCAGAAAGGTTAGGCAACTTGACCAAGATCAACAGCAGGTTAAATGGTATACAATTGAGTTTCAAAACTAGACTTTTGTTTAACTACAGGCTATACTCTTAACCACTCTTATTTCCCCAAACACGATCTACTTATACTCAAATCATAAGCAACGATTGTTTAAGCCATTCACATCAGAATCTCTAGGTTTGGACCTGAGAATCGATATTTTTACCACGCTTATCAGTGTTCCACAGCATGTTAATGACTGAGAACCTCTGAATTAGACAGTGGGATTCACCATTCTTTCCCAAATGTGGTATGTATCTGTATGTGGGAACAGGTATATTGTTCATTATTTCTCTAGAATCCATGCTCCACTAAATAAATAGCTAATGTTAGAGAAGGAAAAGACAGCCAGCGTCGATGTGGAGCAGGATTCTGTTTATATTACAGTTTTACTGTGAAAGTTCGGTTATTTAATAGATGGATTTCTTAAGCTGTAAGTACAAGAAATGTACACTGAGCTAAGGTGCTTTTTGAAGTAGAAATTCAAAAGACTTGTGTGAAAACCAAACATATCAATTTTTATGAACCATGATGATTTCATTGTTTAAAATGACCTAATTTTTATATCCAAAATTGTATAGAATTGTGGTGATCAAAGTCTTTAAAGTGTAATTAAACACCACTGTTCAGCAAATATAAAAATATACGTGCCATTTGATCTACATTCCACTGGACCTGATCCCATTTCTAGGAATCTATTTTATAAATGCTGCCAAAGGATAAGAATATGTAGACACAAGGATATTCTTTGTGTGGTCGGTAAAAAATCAAACAAATGGAAACAGTCATCAGTCGGAGTAAATTAGTGTAGGATTAAGATGCCCATCAATAGAATATTCTGCAGTCAATAAAAAAGATAACACACATCTATATCTGTGGAAAGTGCCCATAACATTACATGCAAAAGGCATCTCTATTTACATTTAGTGCATGTGTGTATGCTTTACATATTCTATGCAGATAGTTCTGTGGCATATATTATTTTGTATTTATTTTAAGAAGCTATTTATATTTACATAGGCGGGTATTTGGAAGGATACACATCAGATAGCTAACTGTAGTTTCTTAGAGGGAATGGGATTTTATTTTTTTAGGAATAGGCATTTTTCCTTTTTATTTCTTGTACTTTAAAAAATTTGATTTACTTTTCAGTGAACTTACATTGCTTACACTTCTCTGGTCTCATCTTACCCTTCCCTTTGGTGAGTGATATTCCGTCTGTTAGGACCACTTTCTGGCTGGGATTCTGAGTTGACACAGAGGGGACATAGCTCAGCCTGGCTTGCAGAGTTGTGACGCCACGATGGCTTTTAGAGCATGAGGGCAAAGCAACGAACAAGCCCTCTTGACCGACACACACACACACACACACACACACACACACACACACACACACACCCCTTCTCCCATGCAACATTTTACAATCCCCTTCCATTACAAGGGGCCCCATTCCCCACACCATTACCACCCACACCCCTGATAAGTACGAAGTGACTACCAGGAGGGAGGGAGGAGCAGCTTTTGTCCCCAAAGAAGCAGTGAAGGTGTTGTCATTTCTAATTTATTGGCTTTCAGAAAAAAATCTCGGGACATAAACCAAATTTGCCTGTAGGCACTGAACTGTTCCTCAAAGTCCAGAAACCCAAAGCTAAGTAAGAAGTTGAACCATGCCCAACATTCCTTAAATCCAGGTGTGAACAAACAGAGTAAACTGAACAAAGACCCCTGTTGGGAAACATGGAGAATGGGGTTACATCGTTGGCTAGTTCCTAGGGCCTTTGGGGGTCTGAGACTTGACCGAGACCCTTGCTCAGCCTCTCTGGCAGTTGCTAGCTCTCCTCCCTGGGGGAACGTCCTCCATGGACACATCTGAGATGTGCAGTGGGGAGGATCTGCTTTGTGGGCTGCTGTCTTCCTGTCTGTGTCAATTAGCCTGGGGTTGCTTTAGGTATTGGGCAATCAATGGCTGTGTGGGGCCAGTCCTGTGGTTTCTTTGGCAATGTAACTCCCCTCCGATGCTTGTAGGCTTCTTTCTGTTTGCTTCTGATCAATTCCCTGGGCTAGGTAACCAGAGGCAGAGAGGTTGTCCAGTCATATATTTTGCATTTTTACTGGGGTTGGGAATGCACACATCCTAACACAGGCCTCAAGCTGTAGTCACCCCTACCTCCCAGACCCCGGTGAGAGGCCCCTGCCTCCATCTTGGCCCCTGTGGAGGTGCAGGGCCACCTGTGGAGGTGATGAATATTTGACCTTTGGCCCAAAGACACATCCTCCCTGCACCTTCACAAAGCGCTGATTGTCTGCTTTAAGTAAGGAAGATAATATTTCATAGAGTGAAAGGGTGAGGAGGGGGGGCAATAGCTGGACCCCAGGTTTATCTCCTGTTAGGTCTGCACCTCCCCGTCTCCGCTCATACTAACTTTATCTTGGAGAATAAATCCTGCATTTACCACCTTTGAGACTCCAGGTTACTGAGTTCTCCACCAGCGGGCTGGAAAGGCCTTTTTCAGCAAAGCCAAATTTTTTCCTTTTCTGATTTCAGATGAGCCTATTTCTAAGTAGCCTTCACTGTTTCTTAAAGGACCTTACTAAGAAGTAACTACTAAATTCCAATATTCCGAATCTTTCCTATCAAATTCCTTAATGCTGTAGCCTTAGTATTTGGCACAGGGCCTGGGCACCAGAACACGACAGACCACAGTTGACCAGCAGCTACATCTTGTAATGGTGGTTCTCCAAAGGCAGTCAGTGCTCACACTGCATTGTGAACATCTCTTAGGAACATGCTAGAAATGCAGCTTCTAAGCTCCTCTCCCTCCCTTTAGGCAGTGGGTCCCAGAAATCTGTACCGACCCTCTGAATAACTGTGGTGCACACCCAAGTTTAAAAACCAGTTCCATGTAACAAGGGCCTCACCAAATGACCTCCTACGTTTTCAGTTCAGCCAATTCCACGGGTCAGTCAGGGGCTGTGACAGACCCTGCACCTCTGTACAGACACAGATCTCTGCATGTCTCAGGATGCTGGCAGTTTCAAGGAGGAAAACAAACAAGAACAAGCTAACCTAATGCAAAGAGGCTTGAATAAACGCACCAGGGGGCTCCAGGCAAGGCTGGATACAGTCCCCGTGTGGTATCCCCTGGGCCCTGTTTGCTTCTCTTTCTGACCTGCTTTCCATCTGAGAGGCCCAGGGTGGCTGCTGGCACCTACTAGTGTTACGTGGATCCTTATTCATTTCCTACAGAGAAGAGTGGGTCTGTGTCCCTAGTAGGGAAAAAAAATCACTAGATTCTTTGGGATTTGATGGTCTTAGGAACCCAATGGCTATGGTTATAAGAACGGGTTTCATTGATTCACACAATTTAATCAAGGCAGACTTTTGGATCTGAGGGTTGGATAAATTGTACATAAACTTAAAGTCTGAGAACTGTGGGGAACGGTGGCTTCCCATAGGAAATGTGGGTTTCTGGCATCAGGAAGGATGTGGAATAGACACTAGTCAGGAAAAACGTTCACACTATAATGTGTTTGTCTTTTTCCGGTTGACTGTTTTCGTGATGCATAAAAGGCACTAATACTTTGCACGTGATGAATGTTTCTTCTCGTTTGCTGTCTAGATTAGAAACTGTTAGTCTTCCACCTTCCTGAATTACTTAATTTTTTAAGAAAAGCTGCTAACTTGTGTGTTTCCTGTTGCCCTGTAAATGACTATTGCCCAAATCTGAGGCTAAAAAGACATTAAGCTCTGCATGATGTCAAGGTAACCACCAAAGAATGGGGCTACATAGCACTCTAGAGCATGCTAAGAGGGTAGAACTGGCCCTGCTGCAAGCCACCCACCCTCTTTCATATAAGCCGAAGACCAGGGGTTGGAGGAGGTGGAGGATGATAGAATTGCTAGAACAATGAGTCATCAGTAGGGATTGCCCATATTAGGAAGAAAGGGGAGTCCTTTAATATCGGATAGACAAAGGGGTGGACAAGAGGTAACACCTCATACTTGCAGCTTCTATTTCCTTTCTTTCCTGGAAACAGCACCCACAAAAAAAAATTTTTGACAACATCCCTAGACACTGGACGGGTCCTGATTAAAATGAGCCAATTTGCATCTTGGGTTTTTTAAACTTATCGTTATAACATAAGCATTTCTCATGTCACTGCATTTTTTGTGAACACTCCCTAATGACCAGTCAAGTGAAGATACCT